ACGATCGGTTTGTGTGAGAAACCGAACAGTATTTATATCATTTTTTACCTCTAATACACCACTATGTCCAACTGTCTTTGGGCATGCGCACGGCATCCGGTGAGCCTCATTAAACCACCTGAAAATACACTTACAATCCACTTTTGTGTTCTTCTGTGCCACCTCTTTAGTACAAATTTGTTTAATACTGATTTCATTTGATTGGTAACTTATTCTTATTCTACTTGTTTTTATTCTGTTGTTTTAATTAGAAATTTAAAAAAAGATGATAAATATAATTTTTTGAATTTGACAAAAAGATGACACTTTTAGTTTTCTAACTTACGTTAGAAAAATGCCATTACAAAGGTAAAAACAAAATTCCCTGTAAATCACTTTAAGGAGTCAAATATCTCGTAATGAGAAGGCTAATATTTGATAAGAATTTTTGATTATTGATTAGATGGTGCTCCTAAACAGAAAAGTAAGCGTAGAGCCCTGTTTAACCACTTTTTATTCATTTAAAAATGTAGAAATTCTTTCAAATTTAAATCTTCTACAAGAATTACAGCAAAAACCAGTTTGATGTAAGAATATATATTTTTATCAATATTTCAGAAATTCAAAATTCCTTTGAACACGACTGCTCAAAATGGTCTAAATTTATGAAACCTACACATTCAAAACCTCATTACTCTGAAATTTTTAATGTAAATGTTAAGTGTAAGTGAAATGTTATGTAGGCCTACTGTAAGAGGTGTTTCATGACGCTACATATGCTGGGGTGTGAATTTGATAGGTGCTTGATATAAAATAAATGGTGCTTTAAAAAGTCCTTGAAAGTCCTTGAATCTGGTATTCATGAAAGAGTGGGAACCCTGCTTACCATCTGCACGGTACAGATGTACTCAAACCTGCCCTCAGTGTCTCAAATATGTCCACAGTGCCTGTGTGTGTCTTCAATGAAAACATACAAGAAGCAGTGCAAAAAAAGTTTCCTGGAGAAACATGCATTCAGGTTGCCAATACAGTGACCTGCCATGGCACCACTTACTCAGTGGGAATGATTTTGCCATATGGATCCACTGGAGGGCTTTCAAATTTTGTTGAACTGAATCTAATCCTTCTTGTGCACAGCTGCCCTGTATTTGTTGTCAAGTGTCTACACTCATGGCACAGTGAGCACCTTAGGGCTTTTGAATTGGAATCCACCAGACAAGTGACAGTCCTTGAATAACTGGAATTGACAGACTCCTATCCACTTGCAGCATACACTGTTGAGCAAAAGTGATTTGTCAACCTGAAGCGTCACATACCTATACAAGATTAGGTATCTATATACATTATATATTGACATGTTTTCAATTGTCCCTAAATCCTCAATTTACTGTCATAATTTACACTCACATGGCTATTCAATTTCACGGGATCTGAAACAAATGCAAAACAGTACCAGTTTCTAACAGTGTTAGGAAGTTAGCTGCAGATAAAACTCCAGCAAAAAAATGGAAAAAAGCAAAGAAATCTGAGGTTAACTACCTCCCGCCTCACCCTCAAGGCAAAACTGATGCATCCCTTGAAAAGGAGAGAGTAGAGCTTCTCTATGAGTACAAGAAGAGAGACAACAACAGAGTCATTAATGAAATGATGTCAAAAACCTTCTCATTGCGTCGTAAAGATGTAATCCAGAAACTACCTGTGATCGACTTAAATGCTCGATGGCCTGCCCTGTTTGAGTTTTCCCAGGTATGTAGAACATTTGAATACTTTTCTGATTACTTTTGGAATGCAGTGCTTTGCCTGACAAGGTGGCAGTAGTATGGCATTTGCTGAAACCAAGCTGTTAACTTAATTAAACTCAAACCAAGCACTTGAATGAACTTTCATCTGGTGTAGCATCTCTTGCCAGACGTCGGACCACCTAAATGTTGTTCTTTGTGTATTTCTAGGGTTACTTTATCTATTTGAATCGGTTTCTCTTTCTCTGTGTCTCTAATTCTTTTCTCTCAGTATCTAATGATATTTGTCCATCTCTCTCTGTCTCTTTGGCAGATCGAGGAGGAATTCCGAAGGATCACAATGAAGCCACTACAGTCCACATTCCTAGGGAAGTTGGACAAATACACACCTAAATTGTTGAGTCTATACAGGATGAAGGGAGGAGCTGTAGGGAAGAAACTTGATGAGACCCTTGACATCATAAATGAGGCATGTACTTTTAATATTATAGCAGTTAGTTTAATGTTGTAACATTCTGATATCTGTACTGAAGATAATCAGAGGCCTCATTATCTAGCTTGGTGAAAAGACAGAGGAGTTAATAAGTGAAGTGACATGTGGCCAAGTATGGTGACCCATACTCGGAATTAGTGCTCTGCATTTATCCCAAGTGCACACACACAGCAGTGAACACACACACACCGTGAACACACACCCGGAGCAGTGGGCAGCCATTTTTTTGCTGTGGCGCCTGGGGAGCAGTTGGGGGTTTGGTGCCTTGCTCAAGGGCACCTCAGTCATGGTATTGAAGGAGGGAGAGAGCGCTGTACATTCACTCCCCCCACCTACAATCCCTGCCGGTACTAGACTCGAACCGACAACCTTTGGGTTACGAGTCCGACTCTCTAACCATTAGGCCACGACTTCCCCTAATAAAGGACTACCAGGTAAAGAAAATATATTTCTGCCCTCTCACTTGTTATGAATGCATACTGAAGGATTCTCACATTTATTTTTTGATTTATGTATACACGGCTCTCTCCACAGAAATATTTTTCAATTCACACTAGATAGTTATTGTTTATAAATTTCTGATGCGCACACACATTTCATGGCTTAAATCACAACACCGCTCAAAACTACCACAGCAACCATGTAATCCCACCCAGATCCCGACAACACACAGCACACTCTTTGAGTGACTTTTGGGCACAAAGTATACATAAATATATTCAAATTCAAATTTACCACAGCAACCACGTAATCCCACCCAGATTTCTGTTTAGATGGAGAGTAAAGACCTACACTCTTAAAAATAAAGGTGCTTCACGATGCCATAGAAGAACCCTTTTGTCTAAATGGTTCCATAAAGAACCTTTAACATCTGAAGAACCTTTCTGTTTCACAAAAGGTTCTTTGTGGCAAAAGAAGGTTCTTCAGATTATAAAAAGGTAAGAAAGAGATGGTTCTTTAAAGAACCTTTGACTGAATGGTTTTTTGTGGAACCAAAAATGGTTCTTCTATGGCATCACTTGAAGAACCTTTTGAAGCACCTTTATTTTTAAGAGTGTATATGCATTCTTTACATTAGCAAACAAAAATGAGGTTTAATTCTCTCTGGTATGTTTCACAGATTTGTGATGACGATGATGCTGCAGTCATCCAAGAGGACCTCTCTTCATTTGTGCTCAACATCTTTGTGGTCAGCAAAGCCAGGGAAGGAGGTCACAAGAAGCAAGCAGGAATAGCCATCGAGGGAACAGAGGTCCTTTTTGGTATTCCCAGTGTAGCCCATGCTTGCACCTACCTAATGGGCCTTATTTATGCTTTGGAAGTAAGCTATCCAAAGAAACTGAAATACACGTTCAAGGTTTTCCAGAAGATCTTCCTGGAGCTGGAGGACATTAACAAAAAAATGTCCTCCAAAGTCAGCTTACTGGCCTAAAAGCCATACAGACATTGTTGAAGGTAGAGGGTTTGAGTTAGGTCCCTCTGTTAAAGTTTAAAAGTTCAATTCCTCAGGTTCTCCTAATGCACTTTCTCGAGTTGAACTACTACATTTTCATATATTGAAAAGCCTGTTGACTTTTGCCGTTTATCTAAGGTGATTTTGGACGTTTTTTAAAACATTTGTTTCTTATTTAATTGGTTCCACATTGTTTGCTGATTTTTACTTTATTTAAACTTTGTGTCATTTATTGATTTTATTTGACATTCGTTTTGCTAATAAACGTTCTACGTTTCTTATTTATTTGGTTATATATTATACATGTTTACTTATTTCCAGTTTTGTATACCTATTAAACTTTATGTAAGTTATTTGTTATTTTATATTAGGCATAGCCTGCCCGATAGCATGGTGTATTTTTATTTGTTTTGTTAATAAAAGTTCTATGTTTTATATACAGGCTAAAGTGAGTTTGACGTTGTATTTTGTTGTTGCATTCAAGCAACTGACGCCGAACTGCCGCTAATTCGAAAGTGAAAGTAAAATGCGCACGGCGCTTTTAAGCTATTTGAAAGCGAGGAAAAGAGGGAAAATTCAAACGAACAATTGCTTTACTCCGAAATGCTGCTATTTGAAAGTGAAAGTAAAATGCGCACACCGCTTTTACAAGATATTTCAATGCGAAGAAATGCAAGGAAAATAGAGGGAATGCCCGGCCCCCCGGTGTTGTCACACGTCAATTAACCGGTGGGAAAATTTCCTCACCGTCACAACCCTACTAAAAGCCATACACATTTGAGTTGGGTCCCTCTGTTAAAGATTTACAGTGCACTTTCTGAGGTTCTTTCAATGCACTTTCTCAAGTTACACAATTACTGTTTCATATAGGGACTATGTTTGTGAGTCTGTTAATGTTTAATGTGCATTGGAAGGAAAGATGACTTAAAAAGTGAGAAACGTGACTCATGGAAAAATATTTTGCTCTGTGAATTTATATCAGTAGAAACCCAAAGAAACTGAAATGTAGGTTTCTTAGAAGATCTGCTCCATTTTCACAAGTGGATCGTGTTTGTGAGCTTGTTGTTTTAAAGTCTCGAGAGCATGTTACTGTTACTGTTAAGGAACAAAAAACACAATTGTATAGAAAATATTCAGTACAATGTAAATTTTTATTATTGGAAAAAAGTCCTTACCGAAAGTGTTCAGTCATTTAAAATGTTTTGAAATAGAAGTTAAACATCCGGTTGGTATGTTGAGACTGACAGATGTCCATTTAATATTATGGGCAACCCTTTGCCACAGCATGCATATATTGAGATGTATTGAGTGGATTAAGGTAAAATTTTGTGAGCATGTTCTTGAAATTGAGAGAATAAAGCCTGTCAACTTTGACTTAAAGGGGTGGTTGACTGTTTTTTTTCTAGGCTTGATTGTGTTTATGGGGTGCAGTCTAACATGTGTTAATGCTTCGTTTGTTAAAAAACGCATTATTTTTCACATAATTTACCTTTATTGCACACCGCTCTGTCCCTTCTCCTCTGAACGCGCTGATCATTTCCTGCTTTTATGAAGCCCCTCCCTCAGAAATACACAATGGGCTCTGTTTGGTTAGCTGGCCCAGTGTGTTGTGATTGGCTAAACCGCCTCTAGCACGTGTCTAAACGTCCCGCCCCTCAACATAGCGGCATGTGCTCCGCATGTATTGTAAACAATGACGTTGTCTATATTGCTTATCAATTTGAGCCCGATTGAGAAGCAGAGGATATTACTGAAGAGGATCGAGTAGAACCTGTGCAAGCACAGCTTTTAATGGTAGGCCTAAGATTTTTGTTTGTTGTTGTCTCATACTTTTAGATACGCTGTGATTTGTAAATGCTACTGCTTCTGTTAGCTTTTAATATACGGTTTTATCCTGATTAAAGCTTTAATACAGTTCGGCAACCGCACGCGCGTCCATGTATAACGCGTCTCATAGCTATAGTATGTGAAAATAAGTATTCACTGAGCTGATGATCTGAATGAGAGAGAGAGAGACAGAGAGAGATGCAGAGCGTGTGCTGAGCAGAACGAGGCCAGGCACAGGATGAGAACGCTGCTTTAGAACATTGATTTTGAAACTTGTGAATCCATTAGAATTGTTAGAAGACAGAATCGCGATTCATATATGAACAGATTTTTACATGCACCTCTAGTTTTCTCTTCCTCTTCTCTAAAGCAGCTTTGCTGTGTGTTCCCGGAGGCGGGGTTTATGTAAAATTCTGGGTTCTTGACGTAACGGACCTGGGAAGTAACTCGTTGTAGTCCCTTACCAGTCATTTTTGTAGGCATTAAACTGCCAGAATTAAAAAAAAGATATCTCCGGAAGCATTGAACTTTCAGCTTCATAACTTTGCAGATATAGTTTATGATCAAACAGCAACATTACACACTAACTAACATTAAAAAAGTGAAATCGCAATCAACCACCCCTTTAATAAGCTTTCCTCTAGCATCACCATGAAGCGCAATTTTCTACTGTACACAATGTCTTAATCGGTGAGGTGTGTGTGTGTGTGTGTGTATATTTATTTATTTTATATTGACCCTGTCGGTTTTACTATCAAATGGCCAAAATGTCAGCTTTATGCAATGTAATAACTAGATTTCCATATTTGATGAGTACATACTACTAATATTCCGTTGACAAGTACCAGTGGTTAAATAGTAAATAAATAACTTTCAGTAGAAATACTCAGTTGCTAATTAGAAAATTTGAGTACATGTAACTTAAAAATAAACTGACAAATTTGGAAAAACAAAGTAGATCCCCCTTGAAATTTGGAACATGGAAATTAAATTAAGTTGAATTCAATCAAAAATACACATTTAGAACTCAAAGTTCTGTAGATCACACACACACAAAAAAGACTAAATAAATACTAAAATAGATTTACTTTGTGTAAACATTCTTTCAACAGACAGAAAAATTAAGTAGTTTTTACAAAGACTAGTCTTGTTTGATCTACATAATAAATTTATGCAAAAAAATTAATCATATGTTTGATGTAGTAATCGAGCAGAAAATTATCATCAGTGATAGTTTGTGATTCATTGTTTTATTTTTTTATTTCTTATGAAAACACAGCAACAAAGACAAACACGCTTATATTAAATGAAGAAATGAAACTTTTATTAACAAAACGTGCACTTTTGGATCATAGTGTCTCGCATGGTGTCTCGTACATACAATTTATTCATTTATTTGATTATTTTTCCATTTTTTTGTCTATTTATATTTACATGTGTGTATTTTTTATTCTCGTCTTATTTTTATTTTCTGTGTGTTGTTGTTGTCTCTGTGAACTGGAAGCTTATGACACTAAAATCTGGCAATAAATCTCTTGCTGATTCTGATCACGTGACCAAACCCCCGGCTTTATTTCTCAGCCCCCCTGCTCAAAATACGTTCCCTCGGCTATGGCTGTACCGGATCCTGCAAGAGACAAGCAGGTAAAGAGAGCAGTGCGATGCCTTTGAAAGAAGAAAATACATACATAAATACAATGTTTGTTACATGTTCATTTAAAAAGTCTTTTGTGTAAAGTTTGACATGATACTGTCTGGGCTGAACCTGAATAAACTGGTTTAAAGCACCTTAGAAAAAAAGTTTCATTGCAACTAATTTGGCATGTGAAATAGGCGTAGCTGTGCTGGTGACGCGTACTGTTGCTGGCATTTAACATTTGCCACAATCATTAAAGGAATTTATAGTTGAATTGCTTTGGGGACTTTTACATAAATTACATCAACCTGAGCACTTCTGGTTTGTCTAGTTCATCACTAAACAAACATTCTGTTCTCAGCCTGAGGCTTATTCATTTCACTTTTGCTGCGAAAAGGCTTTTATATTTGCCAAAAATAGAACTTTTTTATTTTAAAAACAAGCAAGCCCTGTCCAGATTTAAAAAGTAGCGCAAAAGTAACGTAACGCATTACTTTCCATAAAAAGTAACTAAGTAACGTAATTAGTTACTTTTTTATGGAGTAACGCAATATTGTAATGCATTACTTTTATAAGTAACTTTCCCCAACACTGCTAATAACCAAGATTTTATGCCTCTTGAGCACCAAATAACAATGACTTCAACAAAATATTGGGTTTTAAAAAATGTGAATTTTATTTTTCCAGACATTAAACATGAATAACATTTATTTGACTTTAAGTAGGATAACATTACACATTTCTTACCACTGAATTAAAGATGATGTTCTTCTCTCTTTTGGTCAGTAAAAAAAACCAACCTCTCCGTTTTCTTCAATTAGACATGTCAAATCTCTCTGAAATCACAATAGAATTTACTCTCCTATATATTAATTATAAGTATTTATTCAATAAAGACATCAATAAACGAATGCTAGTCACTTAGTAAAAACGAAATAACCGTTAATTTTTAAATCATGAGTGTGCACGACTTTATGTGGAAGACAGGAGAAAAGCGTGTGCAGATCAGAAGCAAACAAGCCCAGTGCTTATGATATGCTTTTCAGACTACACTTAACCTTGGCTTAATTTCAGCTATAAAGTTGGAATTATATTATCATTATAATGCGATTTGACTAGTTTGATGTCTACACTTTATTAAAAGCTTATTTCAGACATGAAATTCTGCAAAAATAGTTTGTTTATGATTAAAAATAAACAAATAAAATAATGAAATACACATTTCAGCATTAGAATAATCAGAAACATCTGCTAAGTTTTAATTAGTTTACATGGTTATGACAACTAAAGATAACCTGCAGGGAACGTTCTGGGAATGTTCTCTCTAGGTTATGAAAATAAATCTAAAAATAACGTTCCCTTTAGTTTATAAAAATAAAATTAAAAATAACCTACAGGGAATGTTCTGGGGTTCCTGCAAGAGACAAGCAGGTAAAGAGAGCAGTGCGATGCCTTTGAAAGAAGAAAATACATACATAAATACAATGTTTTGTTACATGCTCATTTAAAAAGTATT